AATGCCCTTCCGGACACATGGCCAGAGCAGCAATGTGCTGCTCATCTGGGAGCCATTTGCTAGGCAGCTCCTCTGGTGCTCAGTCATTGCTGCTGTTGCTACCACTACAGCACTATGGTACTGTACCTGTACTGAATAAAGAATAAGTCCCAGTACTGTACTGTACATTGTGATGCCCATGAGCTGTTCTGTTTCCAAACTGCCCATAATAATGGCAGAAAAGCATAAATCTGGTGGAAGTGATGTTTCTTCTTCTAAGAAGAATAGAACAATTACTATGGAAACAAAACCCCTCACTGAGTGGGAGGAGGCGGTTGAGTGGAGCTGGGCCGGGTCAAGCTTTGCCCAGGCCCCTACTTGGCCCAGCCCCCCCAGGGAGAGAGAGGTAGGAGGGGGTACTCACCAGTCCCCCTCCAGTAGGGCAGGGCCCCCCAAACCCTGGGCAGGGCCCCCCCTTGGCCAAGAGCAGCTTTCCCCGATGGCAGGCCCACAGTGCATGCATGCAGTTTAAAAGGGCCCGCCAAAAGCAAAAAAACCCCAGTTAGGCTCCGGAGCAGCGAGAGACACGCAGCTGAAAGCCCACTGTGCTCCCACTCCCCCAAAGCCCCTCCACAGACCCCCCCAGCAGCCGCAGAGCCCCCCGCTGATGCCCAGCACAGCCAGAGGCAAGCGGGGCCCGTGGTGTGAGGGGGTTAACCCCTCACCGAGCGGGAGGAGACGGCTGAGTGGAGCTGGGCCCGGTCTTGCCCCGCCCAGCCCCCCAGGGAGCCACACGACCAGAGCCACGCGAACAGGCTGCACAAACAGGCGTGCTTGTCTGCCGGCGCGTGAGTTAGCACAGAGTTTGCACAGGAGGGCCTAAGACCCTGCTGCAAACCCCCCAGGGTAGACCGTCCCAGCCGTAACCAGCCTACCAGAGGCATGACACAGATGGGCACGCGTCACACCCCGAGAGTCCCCTCGGGCTCTGCGGCGCCCCCCCCCTCGGGCACCTCAGAGACGACCACCTAGACGGAGCCCATGGTTCCAGGCTCCACGCAGACAGAGACCCTTGCTCTCGGCTGCGCGGGCTGCCTGTCTCTTTTTCATGCTCTGGCAGCTGGGAGCATGGCCACCTCCCCGTGTGGGGTCTGCTCCCTTTTGGGGTCTCTGGCGTGCCAGCTGGAGGAGCTCCAGGCCACAGTCCAGAGACTGCGTGCCATCAGGGACTGTGAGCAGGAGATTAGACTCCTACTGCCAGGGCCTTCGCCCCCGGGAGCTGGAGGGTAGACCACGGTCTCCCTCCAGGACAGAGGAGGACTCCGGGACCTCCCACTCTCTCCAGTCAGGGGCACGGACCAAGGTGGTCAAGGGTCCTAAAGCCTGCTGCACCAAGGCCGCTGCCCCACCGGAGCTTAGCAACAGGTACGCACCTCTCGCTGCTCCAGCAGAGCCTGGCGAGTTGCCAGCTCCCGCAGGCAACACAGGCTCAACTGCAGCTACCGCCCCCGCTCTCCCCAAGACAAAACGTAAGCTGTTTGTTGTGGGAGACTCCATCCTGAGGGGGACTGAGGGGGCAATCTGCCACCCCAACCCCTTAGCCCGAGAAGTCTGCTGCTTCCCAGGGCCCCGCATGCAGGACATTGTGGAGAAGATCCCAAAGCTCCTCCAGCCCACAGACCACTATCCTATGCTCCTTATTCACGTGGGCACCAATGACACGGCTCGGAGCACTCCCAGCTGGGTCATGAGGCGCTACAGGGATTTAGGAGTGGGGCTAAAGGGTCTGGGGGCACAGGTGGTGCTCTCATCGATCCTCCCTGTCTCAGGCTATGGGCTGAGGAGGGAGAGGAGGAGCCACGTAGTTAACCAAAGACTGCGGTGCTGGTGTCATAAGGAAGGTTTTGGCTTCCATGACTACAGCTCCCTCTTTGGCAAGAGAGGCAGTGAGCTGCTGGGAAGAGATGGCCTCCACCTCTCTCCCCTGAAGAGGAGCCTCTTCTCAGACAGACTGGCTAACCTGCTCCACTGGGCTTTAAACTAAGTCCGTTGGGGGACTGGGGGACTACCACCACTGCTGGCCTACTGAGCAACCCTTGAAAAGCCAGCGGGCCAAAGCACTTAAGGGAGCCCACCCTTACCCCAGCCCTGATACAATCTATGGGCAAGGCAAGAGCCCCCAGGGGGACACTTGCCTGCCTGTACACAAATGCCAGGAGCTTGAGGAATAAGCAGAAGGAGCTCGCCATC